TATGGGGGTGGGTGGTCAGACCTTAGTCAGTGGGGCTGGTGGGGCTGTGCGTTCTGTAACAGAGACATTAATATTTCCTGGGGTCTGAAATTGACTGTAAAAGTGGGAATGTGCCTGGTAAAGACAGAGGGGAATAATTTTCCTTTCTAAATGCACCAAAGATAGAGGATGTGGCTGAGCTGTCAATTGACTTTTACAGCTGAAAATGCTTAATTTATCAAACTGTTGCAATGTGGACAGCTTCTCTGGTTTACCTGTGCTGTTAGCCCTTCAGTGCTTGGCTTCTCCTCCTTCTCGTGTCTCTCATATTTTCTTTCACCATCTAATTGCAGCCTCTTCTAGCTCCTACATTGCTCACTCTCTCCCTGCCCTGCACATTCTCTCATTCTCACCAAGTCTGTGACTTGGTGCCTGTGGCATGGACCCTGTCAAGCTAGGAGACAAGATATGACTTAGAAAGCTCTTGGGTTGAGTAGAGGTTTTTTTTATAAATTATTTCTTTAATTTGCACACCTCTGCTTCTTTCACTTGTTCCTTTTTGCCACAAAAAAAGTCTGCAAGGTCTTAAAAAAAACTCTAGGTTTTTGTTTTATGTCTGCCCAAGAGAAGTGTGGCTCGGGCCGTCAAGTGCTCTCCTAAAGCCAGTGGTGAATAGATGTTAAAAAAGCACATGAATTAAAATGAAGGCGGTAAAGACAGTGTTGACTGTGGGCTCAAAAGGTTTGTGAAGTTTCTGTAGAATCTTGTAAAATGATGTGCTACAAGTAAGGAATAAAATCTAACAATATAGGTCAAAAAACCTGCATCCTAAGCTAAAGTATTTAAATGTGTGAATGGGCAGATGTAGCTGGAAATTCTGTTTATTCTGTGAACATAAATCCATTGTTTCAGTACTCCATCTGTCTTTCGCTTTGATGTTCTTGTCTGTTTCAGTTATAATTATCATGGAGCAGCAAGAGCTGGCGGGTCCCAAGAGATGGGGAGCCAAGGGTGACCTTCACCCATGGGGCACAGTCCCAAGGGTCCTGACAAAAATAAGCAACCATACTTAGTACTGATGTTTTCTAAAGCTAATTATTGTCAGTGTTTTAGAGAGTTGGTTTATACTGGTGTGATATGGGAGCAGTTCAGAGGGGCAGGCCGATTCCACTGTTTCCTTTTGACAGCTACATGCAGCCATTTCTCATCAGGAGCTGGTCAGCCACTGGCCTCAACAGGCATTTAAAAAAATTGGTTTGCATACTTAAGGTTTCCACATTTTCTCCCAAACATTTGTCATGTTAATTTTCCTCCTCCTGGAATTCTGATTATTTACATGAACAGAAGTGACTTTGGTATTAATGATGCCATTATATACTACACTGAGTCCATTAATAAATTAATAATGCTGTGTCTTGTTTGTTTATAAATGAGGCTTACTGAAGGCTGTTTCAAATGAAAAATACCACTGATTGCTTGTAATTTAATCTAGTGAGTTTTTATGCACGTGAGGCAAAGTCAATTAGTCAACTGAGAAAATTCTAACTCCCAGCTAGATTTCAAGTTTAATGCAAATAATTTAGTTAGAAATAGCAACCTGAAAAAATATGGAAAAAAATATTACCAAAGTTCTTTTGTTTCAAAAGCCGCTTTTAATAGTTATTTCTGTTTTGGAACATGGCCATCTTTATGCCTTCTTCATAGTTTGGTTTTTTTGTATGTAGTCCGAAATTTGAAGTTTATTTGGATTTTGTTGACCTGTTCTAGCACCAAAATCTGGAATTTTCCTGTAATACAAGATAAAATGCCATTAGGCAGCACAATTTGTCAACAAAAGCCTGTAAACTGCAAAGTTGTTCAAGCCTTTATTTTCTTCTTTCTTTGTCAGCTTTTTGCATTGTTGATTGATTTGCTGTAGTGCTGCTGTCAGTAGTTTACCAATAGTCTGGTAGAATCTCATGACTGGCATTTTGCCTTTTTAAAACCATCTCATTGCTGCAGTAAAGAATTTGAACCTCTAAATCAGCTATCATAGCTGTTAGACTTCTTTTATTATTATTATTAATGTGCTTTTGGGAAAGGAATATTGAACAATAACTAGGAGCAAGTAAAGTACTGGAATAAGCTTGAAAAGGTCAGTCTCTAGGCAAAAGGCTTTTCGTATGTTATCTCTATTTAATTTCTATGTTCTAATACAGTAACATGCATGTATATATATTTTAAATGGAAATTAAAATGCTGCTATAGGTCACTCTCTTTAAAAACAATCAGTAATTATTAGCAAACCACACCTCAGCAGCATGGGTAATATTCAGTTTCATTCTTAACCACTGTATTTTAATTTTTTTACATGTTTTTTGTTAAAAATGGTAACAAATATTGTGAATATTTTTCCACATAATTACAGAAAAATATTGGTGATTAAGAAAAATATGATATTTGTGTTCTATAAATTTCATTTTAAAAATGTAAATTAAATGCAATTTTATTTGATGCCTAAGGGACTTTCGGTAGAGAAAGTAATGACAAATTTTGAAGGAAACTTTGGAAAAGTTGATACATCATGACAAACAACTGCAATATGCTCAGGAAATACTTCTGGAGGAAAACCCATTTAAGCACTGTGTGATACTGTGGGATATCAAATGTTTTGACAGTAATTTTTAATCTCTTGCAGGTAGGTGTATTGTTATGCTCAAGGACCAGGAAAGCTAATACAAATCTGTAGGTGTATTAAGTGATCATGTAAGATTTCTCTCTTTTTAGTCCTGAGTAGTAATGAAATAATGAACTGGCTTTGATATAAAATAATTTGTTGGTTTTTTGCTCTATTTATCTAATGGGAATTCTTTAATATGTTGTTCTACTGCCGAATTGTATGCTAGAAGATCAGACAACATAAGATACTTTGAAATTTTTCATTACTCAATCTTAAAGGTAGATTTTCCTTTTAGTAGCAATCTGCATATGCAATCTGCATATGCATGTTGTGTGTGCCTGAGATACTAGTGCTAGTATACTTTTAAGATACTTTAGAGGCTGCATGTTCCTCATGCATTCAACCCTGAAGGTCACTGCTGCTCTCTGTATATATGTGAAATAATGAAATATAAAAGAGGCATCTGGTTTAAGATTTTGAAGTCTAATTATCCCATAAAGGAATCTGTAGTTAAGTGGATTTTGTGAAATTATGGAAAAGGAAGAAGGTTGCAGACAGGAAGCTCTATGAGCTGAGAAGGTGACAGTGAAAAGTCATTCTTCAACTGAATGTTTTTGTCAGGATTCTTAGATTTTTGTCAATGTTTAAAAATTGAAGACCACCCCAGAGAACATATTTAACTATGTGAAGCAGAAGGCAAGGAACATAATAAAGAAATATTTAATAAAGAAATATTTTAAAAACCCCAACAATATTAATTATAAAAACATAGACTCCTTTTCTTTTCTGTCCCTGTGTCCCTAAGTTGCATGCATCTATTTACATTATACAGGTGACAGCTAGTATCACTTCTTGTCAGAAAATGGCAGCAAATATTGTTTATTAGCACTGCTTAGAGTTGAATAAATGCTTTCTACTAGATTGTGACAATTGGAAAATATCATAGATTTACCAAGCTGAAGATAAAGCCAGTCTTCTTTATTAACCATTTGACAATAAATTTAAATGCAGGCATATTAACTATTATTTAGAGGTAGTGCATGTTCTACATCTAATTTACAAATCATACATAGATTCTAATGAGATTTCAGAAGACCCATTCCTTTTTATTAAACTCTGTACTCTTTAGTATCATTTTGCCAAAAAGTCAGAGAAGTTTTCTCTGCCAAAACTTTAAATTCAGCACAGTTTTTCTTTTCCAGCATCTAGCAGCATCACCTTGGGGAATCTGGGATGACTGTGTAAATTGAAACAGTAAGTCTAGAGGAAGTGATTTTTCTTTAGCAGACCAACCAAGGGAGATGCAGGAAAAAAAATCTCTTGAATGGGTAACATTTTAGGAAGTCACTTTATTTTAAAAACTAAAAGCCATATTTAGTCTTCATTAATGTCAGTGTGATCAAACCTAAACATGAGTGAATTTCATATAATGTATATTTTATGAAATATGTAAGGTTATCTGTCATTTGAAAATTTTCTATTGTCATGAATTTTGGGGAGTAATATTGCTTAGAGGTGTTGTGTGGGAATGATTCATGTTATTGCAAGTGATGGAATAGGTTTTACTTGCATATTTGTTAGTAAATTGAAATGGCTGGTAAGAGATGCAATAGTTTGACCTTTTAAAATTTACCACTATTCTATCCAGAAACTTTAAAAGTCTTCCAGTCCATTCAGCTGGGAAATGGCAATCTTTATTTTTCAGTGATATTAAAAAAACCCTTACAGACACAGACACAAGAAGACTTGAGAGCATGTAGCAACTGGGACATGCATGTTTAGAAAAGCTGAGATTAGCAAAATGTTTTGATTTCCACACTGTAGCACGCTACCACTAGACCTGGTTTTTGTTTTGTTTGTTTGTTTGTTTTTTAGGGAGGCTCCTTGTCTCTGGGATATTTGTAGTTCAGAATCATCTATGAATTTGGATCCATGAACAGGAGATGCAATGATACCCATTTAATTCCTTAAGAAGATTGAATCAGTAGTTTTGACCAACACATACACTGATGTTTAGTGATTAAAAAAAACCCCCAAACATCAAAACAACCCCCCCCAAAAAACTCCAACCAAACAAAAAAGACTCCAAAACCCCACCCAACAAAACCAAAAACTAATCAAGCTGTTTTGACTTCAAAATGGCCATCTACGCATTCCTGTTTGGTCTCTATCTGGGGTGTTTGCTGTTTCTTTTTCTACAAGGCTGTTTACAAGTGGGGTGAGAGAAATTGCATGTGTGGCAGGAGTTTCCTTTTCCAGACTTTCTTACTTCTGGAATACGCCCCACTAGTACTGAGACTGTGAGGTGGATTTTAGCTGTCTGCTAATGATGATGTTTATATGTTTGTTTGTTTGTTTTCAGTGTTCTGCTTCTTGATTGAGATACCACTTGAGATGGCCCAAGCACTGGAGCCTCAAGTCTTGTAAGTAGCTTCTTTCTTTGTCATATAAGCAGGTTGTATTTAGCTTGTGAGTAGGACTATATGAAGCTCTGCTTGTGTTGTTTTCCCCAATGCAGTCCTGTTTGAATTGAATTCGAAAGGAGGCTTCCCCACAAAGGGAAGAACTAGTCTGATTATTTAGTAAAAATAAAGGTGTTGAATCTCTTTCATATGCATTGCAGATGTCTACTGCATACCAACTCTAGGACACTTCAGGTTTTCAAAAGTGAATTACAAAGATGTCTTTGAGGTTGGAAGATATTTATATGTCTTTTTTTAAATGCATCTGTTTTCTGTACCTTGGCATCTTAATTGTTCCTGCATTCCTCATCATGCATTCCTCCTTCCTTCACCAGTAAAGGATTTCACACTGTGTCTAGTCAAATGTCAGGAGGTGATGCACCACTGAAAATGTGTCATGGAGATCTTTTACTAAAGGTCTACTGAAAAATGCCTGCAACAGCTGCAGGGGAAGAAGTAGTTTTGTTCTCATTCTCACTGTTTTTCTTGACTCAGAAAAATTTGGTTTGGAGTTTTGATGAGTTCAGAGAAATTCTGCCAAAACCCAGAAATGGCATGTAAAGCCACAAAAAGTAATGGTTCCCCCTTTACTGAAATACGCTCTTGATATGAGAAGAATTTGAAGACAGCTACTTATGGGCCAGCAGGGGATGGGAGTGGGGTCAGCCCAGAGCCCTAGTCATCAGGCAAATTCATGGTTAGAGGTGTGGGCCAAGAAAGAGTCACTTTTCGTGTGTCATCTTCTGGTCAACTGAAATGTCAGATCTCCTCCTAAACAGAGCCCTCCCCTTCCTTTTCCAGATTGGCTTTGTATGGGCATTTAAAAGCAGCTCTAAAACTTGCCTGTCTTGTTGCTCAGAAGCTCAACCATGTGTTTAAATACCCAATTTTAAACACCTGCCTTTAAAATACAACATGTAAAATCAAGTTCATATGAAAGTTGTAAATAATGTTTGGGACAGGACCGGAATAATCCTTTCCTAGGTGTTGATTCTGGAAGGCATAAAGAGTGCATGCCTACAGCAGGTTATGAGGGCAGAAAACTCACAAAACATGTTGTCCCTTAGAAATTTGCCAATGGACAAATTTTCCAGGCTCTTAGAAAATGAAACAAAAGCTATCTCTAATAAAAGTAAGAGCTCACCATTTTTCCTAATTGGCTTTTCAGTTTAAAAAAAAAAAAAAGGCTGGTCTGAAGCTCAATAGTACTATAATTTTCCTCATGGTTGCTTCTTTTGAGCACATCTCAGGACAGCACAGGTAAAAAGAAACACTTTCTTTTTTAAGCTTGTAGAAATATCTCTTTTTCCTTTTCTGTCTACCAGTTCCATCAGAGTGAACTTGATATGTTTTCCCAAGGAATTAAATTTGCTGAGAACTGGAGTTTACTCTGGAAGAACTTCAGAACAAGTCTTCCCTTTTTTTCTTTCTCTAATGAAAGAAATGCTTGCTTTTTTTTTGTTCAGAGGCACTAAGGATCAAAGGGAGCCTTTTGTTAAAATAGGAGGTTGTCCTGATGTGTTAACTAGATATTTTTTCTACTCCCCTGCTACTTACTGTGATGTTGGCTGACTATACCTACCCATATCCCTAGCTAAGAAATGCCAATTTTATACTCTTGCTATAATGTGTTTATAGTCTTTGGAGTATTTTAGACTCCTTCAGACTCCAAATATAGTATTTATTTAAACATAGCATTTGCTATTATCTTGCATTCCTTGTTGTATTACCAGATAAATCTAGCGTTCTTTTATCCTCTGTGTGTTTAGATTGTATTATATTGTAACTTGTATTATGCTTATTACATATTACCATGCACTGGGAATTCCCGCTGTATTTGCAGATATGGTTGTACCTATCTCAGATTGGTTTAGCATAAAAAATTGAAATACTGGCTTGTTTGTCCTCTTGATTCCTGTACTTTTGACATTTAGTGCCAATGTACCACTGAATTTTCTTCATTTTTTTTGTATTGATTAAATGAATTTGTCTTTATGCTGTTGGGGGGCAGAAAGATCTGACTACTCCACCAGCGAGGATTGGTTGGGAACCCTGCATTGTAACAAGGTGGATGATCATCCCAACAAGGAGACAGGGTCCTGAGCGGTGAGTCAGGGCTGGGATTAGGTCTGGAGACAGCAGTCAGGGGCAGAGTCTGACCAGTGATTTCCCAGAAAGCCCACAGTAAGATGGGGCACGTTTGAGCCAGCAAATCTGAGCCAGGGTGACGATCAGGGTGGTGAAAGAGCAGACACAGTCATAGCCTATAGTGAAACAGTGAGGGGAGCCAGTGGTACAGCCATAGCCAAAAAGCAGCTCCCAAGGAAAAGGTGGGCTAGAACCTCCCTTCTGCTTCACAATGATGCTTCTCAGCAGCATAGTTGAGTTTGGACACAGCCACTCAGCTGGACTTTGCTTAAAGCTCTGAAGAAGGATATGTTCAGGGCCCTTCTCATTAGTGTAACTTCCTCATCACAGAATCACGAATGGGCTGAGGTTGGAAAGGACCTCTGGAGGTCATGTGGTCCAATCCTCCTGCTCAAGCAGGGCTACCTAGAGCAGGCTGCCCAGGAATACATACAGATGGTTTTTGAGTGTCTCCAAGGGTAGAGATACAATGCAATTAAAAGCTGTACTGGATCCCAAATCATTTGCACCCAGGAGCTAATTAGCTCACTTTTAGCTATCGGACTGCTTGTAAGAGCTGCATCTATGTAGTTTTCTGTATTCAGTATAGGACAATAGTCCCAAGCCCCTAACCACAGCTGGAAATGCTCAGCAAGATGTGCAGTAGACAACACTGTATTTTCTCTTTCTCAGCCAAATTTTTTTTTGTTTCCTCTCTCTCTTAGTGTTGGGATTCAAACAGGTGATATCTGAATCTCTTCCATCTCTCATCCTCTGTTAGGGACCACTAGTGTGAGGTTATATGTGCAATGATGAATTGTCTGTGCATCTCTTTTCTTCTTGGCTGAGCTCAGAAGCTCATGTGGTCAAGAAAAATATCAAATGTCAACTTTATAGTATGACTAATCTTGAGCGTTGAACTAACGACTTCTTAATTCTTAGGACACTAAGCAACCCCACAGTCAGCTGCATGTTTCTAGTGTTTTCAGTTTTGCTCTTTAAAAACTGAAAAGAAATATTTGGTTAATTGTCTGTTAGGACAGATCCTGTTTGATCTGTATCATGTTTTTTCTGACCATATGCAGTCTGTTCTTCATGCTGTTTTATTTCTGCTTACTGCCCCTCTTACATTCGACACATCAGTCTCTAAATCCATATACTTTCTTTGAGTGGTTGAAGGCATCTTAGATTTACCTTTTTAACTGAATAGATGACTCTTTATGTCACTGTCAAACTTGCTTTTTTATCTACTTTCATCATTGAATTATCTTTTTCTTGAAGACTTAAAAAAGTGAATACCCAGTAAGTGACAAACACTAAAACAAAGCCACTGAGTATGGTTACAGGCACTGACTTGAGCATATTTCTCTTTTCCTTTCTACCCTTCATCCAATCTTACATATGGAATTAATTGACTTAAAAATAATAACAGCAGGAGTTAGAAGGAGAGAATGAATTTGCATATGTTTTTGGAAGGAAGATTTTAAAAATAGTGGGGTTTTTTGTCTTTATACTTTTAATCAGGAAATCTATAAGTAAAGGCAACGAGTCACCAAAAAAAGTCCTAAGGAAACAACTAAGAAACAACGTGCAAGCTAAATGCTAGAAAATCATGCTGGTTCAGAATTTTCCATGTTAAAAAGCTGTTTTCCTGAACTTTGTGAAGGACAAACCTCAGTAGTTCTGTGCTGTGGGCTTGTAGAGGTTGTGGATTATTGCGCTGGGAATTTAGCTGCTGTGGAATTTAAGTGCCACTTCTTCTTCTGTACCGTAATATTTTATAGTTGTAATCCTAGGCATACATATATACCAGTTTTACTTAAGAAATGTGCTAGAAAAGTTCAGGTCTTCCACAGCTGTGAAAAGATATTTTAATCTTTATTATTTCAATAGTCTCAGATTTCCATAAAAATAATGATTATATCTCTTATAAGGCTAACCTGGAGTGGGTGAGAATTGAGGGTTTTTTTGTTTGTTTTACAAGCTGTTCATGTCTAGAGGAAGCCTGGCATTCTACTAGAATTTAATGGTTGGAAGGATTAAGACACCTTATGCTGCTTTGCTTTTACTAGCATCTATGTAACTCTTATATAAATTTGAAAAGAACTTCTGCTTTGTTAAAAGCTCAAAACCCTCATCTGTACCTTCCAGCAACTTATGACTTGCAGTTTGAAAACCTTCATATTGAGATTTGACCTTGAAATTTCAAATGCTTGAAAAAATAATTTTAAAAAAAAGGAATAAGAAAAACTTTAATAGTTTTTCCTAAATAAATAAAGAAAGTGCTTTAGGCAAAAGTCCATGTTAAGCAAGCAAGCAAGCCAAAAGTCAACAGTTCTCATTTAGGAAATGTTTGCTAGATGAAGAATTGATATTCATTTAAACAAAACCATGATTTCTTTGGAGACAATCTTGCTTTGGCAAAACGTTTTAATGATATGACAGTGAACTTTTTAAAAATGAAGTGCTTCTCAGATAGCAATACTTACAAATATCTCGCAATGACTTATGAAGCTCTTGTGGTGTTGTGAGTTAACCAAAAACTACTACTTGTCTAGCAGTAAAAGAAAGAATTTGCATTGATTGCCGTTAATGCTGATATAACTTTAAAATAGAAGAATGTTTGATGGTATTATTCCACACTGTTAAAGCCAATCCCCATGTCTTGATTGTTTGTTTGTTTAATTATACTTAGATTAAATTCAAAACAGCCAGCTGATCTTAGCAGCTGGTAAATATTTACTGCTCATTTGCCAAATTCCTTAGAGCACAAATTTTTGCTTTTTCTGTGTCCTAATACTTAATGGATAAGAACTCATTCCTTAAAAATTGCA